CCAACTTCTGTCCCCGGCTGAGGATACATGCAGGCCCATGTGGGCCACACCTTCACAAAGGCCTTCAGGGACCAGGCAGGCCACGGAAATGAGGGAAGCAGTTGGTGTACAATATTCTTCACGTCCATAAAGGAACGGGCTTGCTCCCATTTTTCTTGAAACATACAACCTTCTTAGTCCACCTTTTGTTTTCCCACTTTTGATGGATGTTAGAAATAGTATACTTTACAAGAGGAACAATAGGGCAAGCACAGTCCTATTTGGGAGCTGACCCTTAGTCTCCAGGTTGGGGTGTAGTACGGAGGAGTGGGAACTGTGGTGAAGTGGAGAGCCATGCCCTCTCTCAGGGGCTTAGCTTCTCTACTGTGGGAATGGAGATCCCGTACTGTCAGAGCTTGAAAAAAGAAAACAGGTTTTAAGGGAAGCTTTTCTGACTTTTTAGTGTTGGTAACTGATTTAGAAATTTTAAAAATATTTTAGGGGCCAAGTAAAGTATGTCTGTGGGCCATTAGTTTTCAACTCAGCTCCATGCAGATGCATGTAGCCACTTGGCTCAGTTGGTGCTGTGAGTTGCAGGGCACTTTCATTCAACTACCCAGTATCCCTAGACCTCAGGAACCATTCATTTTCCCAGAATGCTAAACTCCCCATACTGAGTTTAAGAAGTAGATGTGAATTCCATATGCAACATCTACTTCATTCACTGCAGCAGTTTTTGAGTAGGTCAGAGCCCAGACCTCAAGCCCAAAAGAGGTTCAGGGTCTCTCCTGATGGGCCCCATCTAGAGCCTTGGGCACCCTCTACCCTCCAATCCAGCTTTGTCTCTCCCCTGGTGAGTATTCTCACTGGTAAATTGCCAGCAGGCTGCCATCTTGATCTGGCCAGGTAGGTTGACAGGCCTCATGGTTGTTTGATCAAGGGCCCCCATTAGGCCTCCTGGGACCCAACATGTTACTGCCTTCATACCCAAGGATGCTGGTCCCTAGTCCTTTCCTTTCCCTCTCTCTGAACATTCCCTCCCCCACTTCCCTAAAAGGAACCTAGGGTTCTTTCCTGGTGGTGCTAGGAAAAGACAGTCTTCCTTTAGGGCATTTCCAAAGATCAGCCAAGGCCACAGGGCTCTGCATCTGCTTGTGGAAAGTGTGTGTGAGTCAGGATGATGGAGCTTGGCTGCCTCACCCCAGAATGTCCTGAATCCCTCCTGTGGGGCACAAGCCCTCACCTGAGCAAATCTGGTAACCTGAACCTCTCCCTGGCTTCCTCCTGGCCTGTGCCTCCCCAATGCCACCTCCCTTTGTGTGGTTTCAGTTTGGTTTTACTTACATAGTTCCTAAATCTTTTCAAAGGGCTTTTCTAACCAGTCATTGGGTACCATTTATCTCATTTATTTAAAAAGATTCTGATGCTTTTTTCTCAAGAGAACTTCACAAGCAATGAATATGGATTAGCTGAATGACCTGGGGAAGGAGTTTTGATAGTCCTGGTCCCATAATCCCGTGAGCTCACATTTTCCTTCTCTTCATTCACCTGTGTCTCCTGTTTCCCATGTTGTACCTTAACTTTTTACCAGACTGTCTTCTGAAACCTTAAATGCTTTAGCATTTCTGCATTTTCAGAGCTTGTGTTCTAGTTCGTCTTTGTCCAACCTTTAAAGGCAGTGGGATTTTCTTCCTGTAAGGATCAGAATTTTCCAGGGCTTCCTGAGGGACAGTTATACATAGGAAGCACCCCCAGATCCCTACAGCCTCATTGGATTCTGACCCAAGTCACAAAAATCATCCTGGCATCTATTGAGCATTTAATTAGCGGGTAAGCTTTTCCATCATTAATTCCCCTGGGTCCTCCCTACCCCATAGGGGCTCTCTCTGTCCCCATCTTATATAGATGAGGACATGGGTCTGAAGGAAACAACTTGCCCTGAGTGGTAATACTGTCTTGCCAATATTAACTTCATTGAAACGTCACCTTGTTCTGTCCAATGGTCAGTTCCTGGGGCATAACACTCCTTTCAGGAGCTGCCGCCTTGAAGGCAGGGACCCTGTCCAGTAGAGGGCATCTGGCTGGCCCTCAGTGAGTCTGGTGGATTGAGATGACTGAATTAGATGATGTTTCTAAATCCTAAATCCTCAGTGGACATCCTGTTCATTCCACAAATTTATTGTGCACCCACTATGTGCCAAGTATTATTTTAGGCCTTAAGGTTAAAACAGTGAATAAAACAAAAATCCTTGTCCTTATATCTAGTAGAGGTGAAAGTAAAGAGTAAAATATATGGGATGTTAGATATAAAATGCTAAGAAGAAAAATAAAGCAGAGAAAAAGGGATAGGAAATATTGGGAAGGGTTGTAATTTTAAACTAGGAAGGGTCTCACCAAAGAAGTGATATCTGCAAAGATCTGCAGGAGTTGAGGCCTGGAGCTGTTCATCCTCTTGCCTTTGGGCAGGGTTGCCTCCTCTCTCCAAGGGCCTTTGCCTGCCTTCATATGAGTCACCTGGTCCAGAATAGAGTTGTGAAGTCACTGACACATTCATCAGACATTGTGTCCCCACCATCCTATCGAGACTCCATAATAAACTCATTCTTACCAAGATATAAGCAGCTACTCATGAAGAACCTCTGGGTGGGGGGAACAAATTCTGAAAAGACCCATGAGGGAATGCCTTATCTCATGAAGGAGCCCATGGGATGGAACTGCCTCCTCCCTGCCTCTCTCCCCTACAGAAATTGAGTCCCACATTATAAAGCAAGAAGATATACTTAATGGCAAAGAGAATGAGATTAAGGAATTGCAGCAAGTTATCTGCCAACAGAAACAGATCTTCAGGTGAGGGGTCATAGACAGGCTGGGGGTTGTTAATGGAAGTGGGGAGCCAGACCTCTGGCCCCTACCTTGGGCTGTCCCCAGCCCATGCCCAGCCGGCTCCTTGCAGGAAACACATGTCTGACTTCCGGATCCAGAAGCAGCAGGAGAACTACATGGCCCAGGTGCTGGACCAGAAGTATAAGAAAGCTTCGGGGACACGTCAGGCCCAGAGCCACCAGCGTCCCAGGGAAAAATAAAACAGTCGTCACCTTTCTGTTCTTTGGTTGTAACATGACCTCTGACTTCTCTGCGGTGGGGGTCCCCATCCTGACCCTTCTTATCCCTGTGGGTACCCCCTCGGGTCTCACCAGTGGCCTGGTCCTCAGGGAAGGGTCAGGGTAAGAGGCAGAAGGCACTTTCCCTCCTTCCTCCCTGCCTGTCTCCTGGGCCTTGGTGACCTAAGTGAGAATCAAGTTACCAGAGACAGGGTGGGGAACAGGCCTTGGACTACCACCTGCCAAGGGGTCCGTGGGGTTATGGGGTTGCAACCTAGGGAGGGACTACTTTGTTGTCTAGTGGGCACTGTCCTTTCTCACCCTGTATTTAGTCCCTGTCTATATAAACAGCCATGTGTGTGTGAGAGTGAGAGAAAAAGAAACCCCTGACCAGAGACTTCAAAGATGGTGGGTTCCAGGGCCACAATAAATTTGGGAAGTCAGTTTCCATGACAAAACAAAAATGTTATATTGGGAATTACACGTGCAACTTCTTACATTTTCCCCAAACAGAAGCTCATCAGTCTTCACAAATGGGAGGAAGGGAAAAGAATAATGCCATGTCTTTTTTTTTTTTAAATAAAGCTGAAACTTTTTTTGTTGTTACAGATGTTTCTCCTTTTTCCCCCATTGACACCCTCCTCCCCATCTTCCCCCCCACCCCCGTCCCCAGCTTTGTTGTCATGTCCATTGGTTATACATATATGCATATAAGTTCTGTGGTCTCTCTCTTCTCCACCCCCACCTGAAACATTTTCTTTTTAATTTTATTTATTTGTTTAATCCTCATGTGAGGATATGTTTTTTCATTGATTTTTAGAGAGAAAGGAAGGGGGGGAGGACATAGATCGGTTGCCTCCCATATGTGGCCTGACAGGATCAAACCTGCAGCCTAGGTATATTCCCTGACTGGAAATTGAACCTGAAACCTTTTGGTGCATGGGATGATGCTCCAACCAACTGAGCCACCCAGCCAGGCCTGCCATGTTTTTAAGGTGGGGAAACAGTCTGTGAAGGGGCTATGACTTACTGAAGTTGCACATTAGGGCTAAATTTGATGGACAGGCTTCATCCTTTCAGAAGCCATCACTGATGGCTAGGTGATCATAGGGACTAACCCAGGCAGGGGACTTACTTGGAAAGCTGAGTCAGATTTGTCAAGTCTAGCCTTCCCTGGGTCATTGTGAGGGTAAGTGCACAGGAGGGGCCAGTGCTCTTGCTCCAAAGTCAACTGGGGGCCTGAGTCATAGCAGGACCTTGAAACCAGAAGTTTATGGGCAAATGGTGCCCATTGTCTGTCCCAGAACACTTACAGGTGGTAGCTGCTTCCCCACCAGTACCTGTCCCCAGGGCTAGTACTGAGGTGGTGGGGCCTGAAATGAGGAGTACAGGGCTATTCCTGCCTCAGAGGGACTTCAGGGAGGGGACCACAGCTACCTGAAATATTCCTAAGAGCGCACACATCAGCATCCAGGGCTTGTCCTGGTTGCCAAGGTAGCCTATGAAAGAACTGTCCACTCCAACCCCTTCCAATAAGTTCCCATTAAAGGCAGTGGGTCCCGCCAGGGTCAGCACCTTCCTGAGGCCCCAGCACACCTTCTGGAGTTGGGTGAGCCCTCCAAGCATGCTCCTCTATCAAAGGTTGTGGTGTGACGGGTCAGGGAAAGTGGGTGCACTCTTAGGATCTCCAACTGGGATAGGATAACAGGGCCAGAGAGGAGGGGTGCCACTACCATGATGGGAAGGCACTGAGGGCTGAGGGGAAGATGAAAATGCTGGCAAGACCCGAGTTGCCTGACCTGAAGGTCTGGTGCCCTGGCTCACACACTAATCCACATGCCATAGTGCTTGACCTCAGGCAGGCCCCCACTCAACCTCAGTTTCCTCACCTGTGATGAATGGAGTTGGACCTACCTCCTGCCTCCAAGTTGGACACCTGCCTTCCAGTCATCAAAACCTGGAATGCCACCCCAGGCGCTCCAGCCCGCGCCAGAGGAGAAGGGGCTTGGAAGGGTAGGCCCAGGGTCCAGGTCACTCGTGCTGGTGACACCGCTGGCTCAGGAGCGGACGCGGCCGCTTTAAGGCGTGGTGACCCCACGGCATCCGCGGGCGGGGCGGGGATAGCGCTGGCGTCCGCGGCTGAAGCGGAGGCGAACGCGAGGAAGGTAGTGTGCGGCGTGCGGCCCCACCATGCTGATCGCGCTCGCCCCGCCAGCCCTGCCCGGGCTCACAGGTCAGCTACCCTCGGCCCCCGCGCGGCGCCAGGACTCCTCCGGTTCGTCAGGCTCGTACCACACGGCTCCGAGTTCTCCAGAGCCCCCGGACGTTGGGCCGGACGTGGAGGGCCGGGCGAATTGGCCCCGGGTGGCCCCTGCGCTGGGGGCGGGTGCGCAGCCTCGCCTGTCCGTCAGCGCCCAGAATAGCCGCCAGCAGCTCCAGCCCAGCTCGGGTTTCCCGCGAGGCCCGGGCTCAGGCCCGCGGCCGCCCCAGCCCCAGCTGCGCATGCTGCCGTCGGGGGAGATGGAAGTCATCTTCGGCGCCGGGGCCCTGTTTAGCCCCTCCGACTCGGCGGATAGAGAGGTGCAACAGCTCACTGCGCGGGCTTTCCACAGCCCCTCTCCGCGGGTGTCTCCCGCCCCCGCCGCGCCACAGCCCCAGGCCTCCGACGGTGGTTCCCGCTGGGCCACCTACCTGGAGCTGCGGCCCCGCGGGCCGAGTCCTGTCACCCCAGCGCAGTTCGAATGTGTGGAGGTGGCTCTGGAGGAGCGTGCCGCGCCCGCTAGGCCCCGTACGGTGCCCAAGCGTCAGATCGAGCTGCGCCCTCGGCCCCGGAGTCCTCCGCGGGAGGCCGGCGCGCCGCACCCGCGACTGCTCCTGCGCACCGGCTCCCTGGACGAGTCTCTGGGCCGCCTGCAGGCCGCCGCGGGCCTCGTGCAGACGGTGCTGGCCAGAAAACTGAACCCCGAGACCCCGGCCCCAAGCAGCTCCACCTTCGGGCCCAGGGAGCAACCAGAGCCGGAGACCCGGAAAGTGGCCCCAAGTACCCGTTTGGTCCAGGAGGATGGCAGGTCTCGGCCACCCCGCGTACACTATAGTTCAGCCTCTGCCAGGGTCCCACGGCCATGGCCCAGCCTCCGCGAACGTGCGATTCGGCGTGACAAACCCGCGCCCGGAACCGAGCCACTGGGTCCGGTGAGCTCCAGCATCTTCCTGCAGTCAGGGGAGAAGACCCAGGAGGGTCACAACCAGGAACTCAAGACTAGGTTCCCGGGAGAGACTCCGGAACGAACCGTTCTGAGGCCTCAAAGTCCGCCTTTCGAGTCCAGGGACCCCTGGGAAGTTCCAAGTAAGGCTGTGAAGCCGAGGAGCCCATCCCCGCTGTGGCAGGCTCCAAATGGGACTGTGCAAGGTTCTCACTGCCTGGCCCCCCAGAACCTGTCCCAGTGGAATCGGGCTAATCGGAGGGTTAGTAGTCCCTCCTTCCCAGAGGCATCCTCCCCATGGGAAAATCAGGATCCTACAGTCGAGAAAACTGTCAGCAGAAGGAGCCCTTCTCCTCCGACCCTTTCCCAGTGGAATCCGGGTGTTGCCAAGGCAGGAAGCCAATCCCCTGAAGCTCATTCATTGTGGGAGGTTCCGCATCCCTCAATCGGAGCTACCGTAGAGGGGAGTAGGAGCCCGTCCCCGCCGGCCTTGTCCGCATGGGAGGCTCCAGATCGTCCTGTTGGGACCTGGAGCCCATCGCCCCAAGAGACATGGGATTCCAAAATGCAGGGTTCATCAATAGTCTCTACGCAGGAAGTTTTGAATGGCATAGTCCAGGGGGAGCTGGCCCCGCCTATACCATCTGCACCCAGGCCTTCAGAGCTAACAGAAGCTCAGAGTCCTCCCACGCGGGACCTGCCGAATCTTGCCTTCCAAGACAGTCAGCCGTCACCAGAGGTGGCTGCACCTGAGCTGCCCCTCAGTCGCCTAGTGGGCACCATGGATTTGGATGCGCGCGGGGAAGCCTTGGGCCCTGGAGAAGCGGCCTCCGGACGCCCGCGCGTGGCTATTCCGCGGCCCTGCGACATGCGCAAGATGGTGAAGACCACATACGCACCGAGCTTCCCGGCGGGAACCACAGGCTCAGGACTGCCTGCGCCTTCTGCGGATCCCCACCGAGAGGAGGGTGATGTGTCCAAGATGCAAGAGCCCCAGGGGCTGGAGACTCCCACCCCAGCTCACTACACTTCCGTTTATCTCAAGGACTTTCTCCCGGTGGTGTCGCACCCCTATGAGCCCCCAGAGCCATCCCCCAACACAAACCCCCCGGAGGCTTCGCAGCCCAACGGGGTCCTGCGGCGGAGGGCAGAAAACAGCACAGCGAAACCCTTTGCGCGCACTGAGATCCGTTTGCCTGGTGTCCTGGCTTTGGGTCTTGGGCTGAAGGGAACCCGGGGAGTCTCGGTGCGCGGTCCTGGAGGAGAGAACCGGGTTACGGAGGCCCAGCGTCTTGTCCCCGACAGCGAGGGTCCGACCAGACCTCTAGGTGGAGCTCGCTCCTTACCACAAAGGTCGTCCCTAGGGCCAGCAGGGGCCCAACCAACTGGACCACCCCGCTCCAGCTCCCCTCAGGCGCACCCTAGCTCTAGCCCTGGGAGAACACCCAAATTGGAGACTCCCCCTTCGGCCCCCGAGCCTGCGACTGCCGTCCAGTCGCCCCTCCTGCGGGAGCCCCAGGCGTTGGCGGGCAGAATGGCCCCGCCCCAGCCCAGAGCAGCATCGGCGCCTCCGATGGAGCGGCCCCCGGAAGGCCCCTCCCAGGGGGCACGCAGGCCACCTGGAGCCGCGCACACGGGGAAGGTCCTGGTGGACCCCGAGAGCGGCCGCTACTACTTTGTGGAGGCGCCCCGGCAGCCTCGGCTACGGCTGCTCTTTGACCCCGAGAGCGGGCAGTACGTGGAGGTGCTTCTGCCTCCCTCACCCCCGGGGCCACCCCGACGCATCTACACCCCATTGGCCCTGAACCCCGGCCTTTACCCGCCCGCCTATGGGCCTATCCCTGGCCTCTCACTGCCACCATCCCCAGGCCCACCAGCCTTCAGCGGCACCCAGCCACCCTGGGCCTCCGAGGCGGGGTCCCTGGACGGGATGTACTACCTGCCAGTGAGTGGGACACCCAGCCCCGCACCTCCTCTGCTCCTCTGTGCTCCTCCCACCAGCTTGGGTCCGGTCCAGCCTGGCAAGGGCTCCTTGTTCCCCGTGTGAGACCCCAGGGCCTTATCCCCATGGTGTTGGGGCCTGCCTATGGCCTTGAAGGTTCAGACATCCAGTCCCCTACCCTTCTTTTCTTCTGTAACCTTTTCTTTACCCATCTCATCTAGTCCTCAGACTGGAAGTTACCTTCAGAGAATGTATCTGAGACCCTGGGGGTGATGGAGTTGGAGCTCAGGAAGTGACTGCCTTTCTTCCACAACAACATTGTATACCCCTTTCCCAAGCATTCCCAGAGTGTGGTGTGTTTGTATGTGTACATGTGTGTAAAAGTGAGGAGTCTCAGGACTTGTCTCCTGGAGCTGACCCTAGGGGGTGTTGGCGTTCCCTAGGAGCAGCAGGGGACAGAGCTGAAGAGGTAGTAGCTGTCTGTCCCCCCTGAAGGTGGGCCCAGCTGAGGTGGAGCAGGCTAGTGAGCATCTGCAAGATGGAGGGAGAAGGACTCTGGCTATCAGATCTGTTATTCTTAGGGAAAGGATCTAAGTCTTGGCCTGGGAGGCTGTGAGGGAAAGTGACTAGTGCAGCCAGGCCAGGCTGTGTCTGAGAAAGGGAGCTGTGGGGCAGCAGGTGAAGGTGGAGCAGGGAAGTAATATAGGAAGGGCAGTGGAGGGTCAGCTGGGATATGGGGGTCCTAGGGGAGAAGTGGGGAAATGGCTGGAGTCCCTAGCTGGGAGTCCCACCCTTTATTCTCCCCTCAACCCCAGCCTCTGACTTGGCTTCTCTAAGCCCTCAGAGCTGAGCTGGCTCTTCCTGGGTAGGGAGCAGATGAAGTGAGTCATCAGGAAGGACTTACAAGAAGGATGAATGGTTGAGTTACTGTCCCAGAGGAGACTCTTGACCCCTTTGGGTGGGGTAGAGGGTGGGTTAGGGCTGGCAGTATAAGAATGCCTCTGTGTGGGGCAGGCCAGAGAGACTTGGAGCCCTCAGCTGGTTTTACTCTCCCAGTAGCAGTGTGGCAACCATGCCCGGAGAGGCATTGGCTTTGCAGGCTGGTCACAGCATAGTAAGGGACAGGACCCAATTGCCCTGAGATTCCACAAACCTCTGAGGAGGACAGAGGGAGATGCATGGAGTGGGTGGGAGGTGCTCTCTGCATGGTTCTGCATGTAGTTCTGAGCTTGAAGTGCCTGGGTCTTGCTTGACAGGTATGTGATGTGATGAGTTTGAGGAAGAAGAGTGTCCATTAGAAGCAATGTTAGGAATGGAGATGAATGCCTTCCTTAAGTTCCATGCCCCTGGGGGGCCTGGGTCCCTTGGAGTCCCTACCCCCCTGCCTTGAACTGGAAGCTGACCGGGAAAACTATGAGCCAGAAAAACCTGGACATCTTTTTGTGGCCAGAGATGCTGTTTCCAATAACATGGTGGGCCCTGGACCCATCACCTCATCCTGGTGAGCAATAAATCACTGACCCAATGAGCTGTGATGGCTGGAACAACTGGTGTAAGGTGTCTGATTTCCTGCTGTGGCCCTTAACCACCCCCACAATGCCCTTTCATGCCCGGATACAGCCTGGGTGAAGGGAACCCTAGGGTTCAGGGCAAGAGACCATGAGTGTCTTTCATACACTGTGGTGTCCCTGCCAGTGAATTTGCCTCCCAGGGAGGGACCCTTAGGCTGGCAACAATACCTGTGGCATCATTCCTCCTGGTGGCTGAGTGGCCAGTGGGCTTTGGGGTCAATCAGGCCTGGGTTCCAATTTCAGCATGGCCCCTTTGGATATGAAGCCTTAGATTTGTCATTTCTTTCTGAGCCTTTGTGTCCTTGGGGATAGAATAAAGATGACAGTAACCAACTGCCTCCTCCCCCAAGTTACTCAGTACAGCACCTGCCACATGGCCAGATCTCAGGACCTGGGAGGTATCAGCCTTCATGTGTCCTTGCCCAGACCCAGCCACTCTCCTTGCCTCACTGTTCTCTAACTGTGAAATGAAGCTAAATTGGCTGGAGTTGGGTCCCACTAAAGGAGGTGCATATGTGGCATCTCTTGGGGGAAGGGAGAAAATGGGAGGGGTGAGGTGTCAGTTCTCCATTGGTCTGGGTCAGGCGTTCTGGGGAGGTCCCCACTGCACACACCCAGACACCTGCATCCCAACCACGGCCCATGATCACTGAGCCAGCTCCACGAACCATGAGGCTGTCACTGACACTGCTACTGCTGCTACTGGGGGCCTGGGCTATCACAGGGGGCCTCGGGGACAAGGCTCCGCTCACAGCCACCGCCCCCCAGCTGGACGATGAGGAGAAGTATTCAGCTCATATGCCTGCTCACTTTCGCTGTGATGCCTGCAGGGCGGTGGCCTACCAGGTGAGTCCCTTCCCCAAGCAGTTCCCCTGCTCTGGCCTCCTAGAGCCAGACCCCTTCATCTACTGCAGATTGCACCACTGGCCTTTGATCAATCCCTAAACCCCCACCCCCACCATTCAGCTAGAGTCAGCCTTCTATAATATTGCCATTTTCACCTCACCTGAACCTCCATGCCTCAGTTTACTCATCTGTCTGCCCAACAGGGACCAGACCGTCTGGGACACCACATAGTATTGTGATACTTCAGAGAGTTACCAACTTGTCGTCTCAGACTCCTCTCTTTTCTAGGCCCATCCTCAGGCCTGGACCCCTTCCTAAAATATGACTGAGGAGCATTGGTGTATGTGTGCATGTGTGCTGAGTGCATGAATATATGAGTATATGTGTGCCTGAGTTCACACACAAACCTGTCAAGCGTGCCTAAGTACTTCTGTGTGTGTGAGGCGGGGACCTATGAGTACACGTGTCATTGAAGAATGGTCTATGGTTTTTTCTCTTCTGGTTTTTGTGGTTTGAAATAGTATGCACCACCCTGGCCAGTTTGGATCAGCGGTTAGAGCGTCAGTGTGCGAACCCGGAGAGTCCCTGGTTCAGTTCCCACTGAGGGCATGTATGTACCTCGGTTGCAGTTTGTCCCTGGCCTGGGTTGGGGTCGTGTGAGTGGCAACCACTCGATGTGTTTCTCTCTCTTTCTTCCTCCTTCTCTCCCTCTCGCTCCATCTGAAGATAAATTGCAAAAATGTCCTCGGGTGAGGATAAAAAATTTTTTAAAAAATAGTGTGCACTGATGAGCAGGTGTGCCGTGGGGGAGGGACCTCAGTGCCAGGCCTAACCTTCCACCTCAGCATTTCCCACCCACCCACCCCATCGCAGGAAAGTGGTTTCTGCTTCAGCTGGCCAGGTCCCAGCTTTCCGGACCTGGGGGAGGACCCTAAGGCCTGCCTCACAGGTGTTTCCTGCTCTAAAAGCTCACTCACTCCCACCTCATTCTTCCCCAAAGGCCCAGGCTCCTGTCCTCCCCTCCCCCACACTGAGCAGTCCCTAAACCCTGACTCTCAGCCCCTCCCTGTTCCAGATGTGGAAACATCTGACAAAGGCAGAGGCCAAACTTCACACCCCCAGGGGGCGTCAGGCACTGAGCGAGTCGGTATACACAGACGTTCTGGAACGGAGCTGCTCCCACACCTGGCAGGAGTGAGTTGAAAATCCAGGCCCTCCCTTCCTCCTCCAGGGGCAGGGCTTGGTGGGTGGAGGTCCCCACTCTCCCACTCACACCACATGCTCACTCCACTAGGGTGTGTCCAAGGTAGGGGGCTGGTTGGGACCAAGCCTAAGCTCTAGAGCTGGGAGCAAGTAGAAGGGTAGGTGGCCAAGGGACAAGGTCATGGTCCAGGAGCTTCCCCCTCTGGTCTTCAGTCTTCCACCAGGGAGGATCAGAATCTGGGCACTGAACTCAGCAAGGGCCCAGTGTGCCCAGCTTCATGTGGAAGCAGGTCCCCCGCTGGCCAGGCTCTCACCAATGCTGCGCTGCTCTCCTTCCCCACTGCTTCCAGCTACGGGGTTCGAGAAGTGAACCAGGTGAAACGTCTCACAGGCCCAGGGCTTAGCAATGGGCCAGAGTCAAGCATCAGCGTGGTGATCACGGGAGGCCCCTGGCCCACCAGGTAGGACAGGAGGGAGGGGTTGGGATGGAGCCCTTGGAACTTTAGTCTGTCTCATGTGGGCCAGCAGAGTCTGAGGCTCCTTTTGGGCTCCCCTAGGCTCTCCAGGACATGTTTGCACTTCTTGGGGGAGTTTGGAGAAGACCAGATCTATGAAGCCCACCAACAAGGCCAAGGGGCTCTGCAGGCACTGCTGTGTGGAGGCCCCCAGGGGCTCTGCCCAGAGGAGGCACCAGCCACAAAGGCAGAGCTGTAGTCCAACTCCTCCTTCTCTTGGTGACCAGCCCCTGAAGACGGTGGGGGCTTCTTCTGGATCTGCCCACACCTTTCTCCAGGCTGCCTGAGGACTGCGAGGCCTTGCTCTGCTGTGCTACCACTCTCCCTCCTCCTCCAGATCTGAAGAACTGGGGCCTGGGCGGGGGCCAAGGCCTTCCCCTCCGGATGCAAATAAAACTCAGTGACCTCGATTCCTTCTCTCTGCAAAATGTGCTTGGGGGCTGGGAGGACAGACATTGGTGTTTCTGCTGATGTCACTCCTAGAGAGGGCCAAATTCCTACAAATTTCCCAGAGGTAAGTGAAATCTGTCACGGTTGGAAATGTCAGTGAGTAGTCAAAGGCATATGGATCCAGTTATGTGAACAGTGAAACCCCTGATCCATCTGTTGTAGACCAACAAGACAGACCAGACTCAGACTCCAAACTGAGTTCAAATTAAGAGAGCCTTATTAGCTGCGCGGCGACTGTCCCATCCTATGCAGAGGAGAGAGCAGCCCCGAGCTCATGGGGAGGGTTGCTCATATAGTTGTCTTAGCCCCTGTTAAGGAATTTGGGCTAAGGGTTTGCGAGCAAGCAAGCAGGTACAGAAGCAGATATTTGCAGTTAGCTGTTATGCCTGAGGGAGCAAGCAGTTTCTGTGTACACAAAGCAATGGTTATCTATACAATGCAGTGGTTATCTATAAGTAGCTAGTTCTTGCCATTCTCTTAAAATCCAGGGGGTAAGGTCTGCCTAATGGGAAAAAAATTTACTGTACGTTCACATAGCATGTGTTTGTTCTTTACACATCATGAGAAAGAAAAACCACGGATAACTCCTTAAGAAAGCCACCTTGTGGACACGCCTACTGTAACCACTGGGTGATATTGGCTCTCCCAGAACAGTAGTCTCACTGGGTCTAAGCCCAGCGGCCAATCACTTCTGACACCAGCTGGCATGGTTGAGCCCTCAGTGCCCGCCTGGGACAAGGTGGGGCAGGGTTCCTGGAATGGGCTGGTTTTAGCATCTTGGCTCTAAGTCCTGCTCTCCCCAGAAACTATTGTGTCCTGGGGCTCTTCCCTTAGCAAATGGAGAAACAGGCCCCACTTGGAGCCCACCTACCTGGGTCTGGGAACCTGGGGTCAGGTGATGTTACAACTTGAAATTTCCTTTGTGATTGTCTCTCTGCCTTGGGAGGTAGACAGAACAGACACTCTAATCCCCAGATGACACAGATGCAGAAACCAAGGCTTAGGCAAGAAAAGAGGCTCAGGACCAGTCCCAGGCTGAGTAGTGGTGCCTTAGTCCCAGGGCTGGGACAGGATTCAGATTTGGGGGGGGTGGGAAAAGGTCATTGCTGTAGGAATAGGGGTACCCCAAGCATGCCCTGACCTCTCCAGCTTTTCTGAACTACACTGCAGCCCAGCCCCCTAAATCTCATCACCAGTTTCAGTTCCTGATCTGCCTGAGCCACCCGTTCTAGCCTTACACCCCCGCCCCCCAACCTAGGCACCAGGAAGGTAGCCACAGCCAAGGAATAGCCGAACCACTTCAGGTGTGGAGTTGGAGCCTGTGACGTGGCCCTGTGTTTACGTGGAATCTACATCTGAATCTGGGTGTTGAGTCCTTTGTGCGCCTACATCCGAGACCCTGTGCAACTTCAAGGCCTTGTCTCTGTGTGGTTGAACTGAGTGTCCAGGGGACTGCGAGAAGCATGCTCTGTCTCCTCAGCCCCCTGGGGAGTGCTGGGGCTGAGAGGGTGGGAAGGAAAGTGCTGAGAAGCAGCTTTGAAACTTCAAACTGGTCTGACCACTTTGGGAGCCTGGGAGCAGAAGCCGAGAAGGGAAGAGGAGAGAACAGGCAAACAGAGGAACAGGCTGGAGGCTGACAGGCCCACGGATTCAGGGCTTTGGCATGAAGCTACTTCCCAGCTGGAGAGCAGTGCTGCCTGTGGGCCCTCTGGGCCTGGCCTGGCCATGGGCACAGCAAACCAGAAGTAGGTGGGCCCTAGAGGGGCTGGGGCTGGGGCAGCACTGTGGGGAGCAGAACCTTGGGCCTAGACAGCACTAGCTGAGAAGCCTCAACCCCTCAGCCCCTCAGCCCCTCAGCACCTGGACAAAGACAAGCGGGTCTAGGGCTGGCTGTGGGGTGGTGTAACCTGAAGTCACACAGGGCCTAGCGCTGAGAAAGGCCCCAGGCTGTGTCTAAGGCTCTGCTGTGGCTGTCTTAAAATGTGTAATATTTTTGGGTCCTGGCCAGTTTGGCTCAGCGGACCAGAGAGTCCTGGGTTCGGTTCCCGCTAGGGGTATGTACCTCCAAAAAAAAAAAAAAATGTGTAATATTTTTGGAACAGGCACCCTACATTTTCATTTTGGACTGGGTCCTGGGTGAGGAGGGAAGGGAATCCCTGCCCTAACACGGGACAAGGACAGGCAAGGCCTTGGTGGGTCCTTCTCCAGAGGTTCACCTGTCGTGTGCCTCAGGGGCACTGAGTGCTGAGCTGCGGTGGCGGGAGGGGGGTGCCTAATTACATTTAATGTTTGATTTACAGCAGAAATGCAGGAGTTCAGGCCAACCTGAATTTTAGAAATATTTTCTAAAATCTTGCTATCTGTGTGGCCTTGGTCAAATCACATCTCGTAATCTGTTTCCTCAGCTGTAAAAGAGATTAACCCTGCCCAGCACCTCGGGTTAAACACAACACATAGGTGTTGCCTGGTACACAGTCATTCCTGAATAATGAGAGTGGTTATGATGATGATAATGATTAACTTGTTATTAATATTCAGACAGTGACATAATAAGTGCCTATTTCTACTTCTTTTTCTGTCATCTCAAACCGAGCTTGGTAAACTTCCAAGGCTATCCACACCTCACCCCCGACTCTGGCCCTCTCCTGGAAAACAAGAGGAAGCCCCTGTCCAGGCTCAGGTGCGGGCAGTAGGTGAATGTGGCAGAGGCGTGGGCAGCCTTTGCCACTCTACTATGATCAGAGTTAATACATTACCTCCACTGGCGTCCTGCTTTCACAATCTCGATCAGAGATGGGGATTTGGTTACAGATTTACTTCGAACAATGTCTGATATGTGGAGTAAAGTCCTCCTTTGCCTGTCTATAGCCATCCCTCTTCTCTTCAGGAACTGCTCATACCTGTGTCCCAAAGATGAGGGCCCAGGAGGAACTCGAGGGCCAGACACAGGTGCTGGGGGATGGGTGGGAACTGGGTGGGGGCAGGGAGGAGTGGGGGCTAGCAAGACTGCACAGGCCTTCTCCCTGGAGGGCAGAGACAAAGGTCTGATAAACTTGATCAAGAGTGACTGTTCCAGGCTGAACATGGCAATTGGGGGATGGGGTGGGGGTAGCAGTGGGGGTAAAGGCAATTGGGGACTGGCTGACTCCAGCTTGAGGGCCAGTAGAGGCACAACCTACCCTCCCACAATGACACCCCAAGGACCTCCAAAGAGCAGAGGTGAGACCAGATTGGGCCCAAAAGGCCTATCCACAGTCTCCAGCTTTTTGGCCCCCTTTCCTGGTGTCCCCCCAAGCCTTCTGACTTAGGGGCCCATTCCCTTGGCTAGAATGCCTGGATTCCAAAAACTCCATGAGCCAGCATAGTGAACTCACCCCACACAAAGCAATGTGAGGTGGGAGCCAAGTATACACAAGCCAAGGGAGAGCTGGGTAGATGAACTGTGAGGGAGGTGAGAACCCCAGGCTTGGACCCCATTCTGAGGAACTAACAGGCCACTCAGGCACTTGATTGATTCTGGGGCAGAACTGACTTTACCAGTGTTCACCTCTCCACCTGAGTTACTGTTCTCTGCTGCCCCCAGCATGAGGACCTGGGCTTAGCAGGGGCCCCCACGAAGGACCCTCCGGTGTCCCTGCCCACAGAGCCCAAGTTCGACATGTTGTACAAGATCGAGGATGTGCCACCCTGGTATCTATGCATCCTGCTGGGCTTCCAGGTGGGCTTCTCCCCAAGGGCCTCCCTACTGCATGCTTCCCAGAACCCCAGCCCCTCCCTAGCCACCAAGGTTATCTTGAGTAACAGGAAGAGAAACCTAAGGTAAGCAACAGTAACTGTCACCAAGCTGGGGTGGGGAAGAGAGGATTAACCCCCTAGGAGCAAGTATATCTTGCCAGGCAGACTGTCAGTGACAGGGAAGAGGGCCCACTCCACGAAGATGCTTGAGTAATTGGGGGGCAGATTAGTAATCTCCAGAGAGGTGAGCAGTAGCCCTCTGGGAATTCCCTGTGGGAGTGTCAGTCCTGGCTGGGTACACTGTCTAGGGCAGCATGGCTTCAGGCCCACTGAGGCAGGCATGAGAACGGTTAGGGGTCTCGTTTCCCTGTGAGCTCTGTGGCCTCATGCACCCCCCACCCACTCCCCCTAGCATTACCTGACATGCTTCAGCGGCACCATCGCTGTGCCCTTCCTCCTGGCTGAGGCGCTGTGTGTGGGCCGTGACCAGCACATGGTCAGCCAGCTCATCGGCACCATCTTCACCTGCGTGGGCATCACCACCCTCATCCAGACCACAGTGGGCATCCGGTGAGCTTCCCCACCCTCACCCTACACAGAAACACACACACAAACACGCAGCAGCAGCAGCAGGAACAGGAGCAGGTGGTTTCTCTCAGAGGACTCATGAGATAAAAAAATAAAAAGCTGCTCTCTGCCCCCACCTACTGCTTCTTCTCTCAGACCAGCCTTAGAGCCAGGCAGCTGGAGTCCTACCCTGGCACTCCTCAAGGACTAGGAGTCCATGGGTTTAAGGGTATGTGCCTTAGCTGGGCAAGGATTGGTCCTGGTGCCTGCTCACCAAGCTGGTTAAGTCCTACACAGGATAAAGAGGACCCCACTTGCTTCCCTGCTTCCAGAATCTGTGCAGGCTATTTCAATAGTCTGCCTTCCTGGGAGGGCCCCACCCCCTTGGGCACAACCCTAGGCCTGGGTGGCCAAAGCATAGTTGTTTGTGTGGTGAGAGGAGGGAGGGAGGTGGTGAGTGGTGCTTGGATACAAGAAATAAGCTGTCCACTTCTTTGCATGTGGCCTCTCACAGTGCAGGAACTGGTGTTGAGAAGGAAAGGGGTCGAGGGCTCCATTTGTTTCTTCCTTGGTCCCTAAAATGTTATAGTCCTGCCTGGGGCCTCTATGACTTCCCTATGTTCTGCTCTTGCCCTTGTCCCTCTGTC